AGCTTCAGTTCAACGGCCGAAGGTTTCGAACGCTCACTGTAGTGGCCGCAATCCCAATCACTCTGCAGCCTCTGCCTCTCCCCTTCTCTATTCTCTCTCTCTCTCTCTCTCTCTCTCTCTCTCTCTCTCTCTCTCTCTCTCTCTCTCTCTCTCTCTCTCTCTCTCTCTCTCTCTCTCTCTCTCTCTCTACCAACCCATGGTGTCAGGCGCCATCAACTACCACTATTTCAGCCTCACTCGCTGCTTGACCGCACAAGACAGCAACAGTGTTTCCGTCACAGGCATGAATGCAAATTGCCTTGACGCTTCACTGCTGCCGGACTTTTTTTCTTTTTTTCCTTTCCTTTTTTTTAAAAGGGCGATAGCCTTCAGATATCATGATCAAACTGACTGGCCCCAGGTAATTCAGAATTATTGTACGGCACTCATCTGGATTCCAACTCGGGTATGTATTTCAACAGTTCATGGGTGTACCAACTGAGCTAGGCCCGTTGCTGCTGCCGGACTTTTGTACTTGGTGCAGTTCCCAATCCTGGACATTTCCACACCGGCACCCTTCCTTGTCAGCCACAATCAGCTTCCAATGCTTCCCAGGACTGAGCTGCGACTGGACTGGACTGACAGATCGACAGACCACTAACAACCTGGGCCTACCGGATTTACCTAACCTACCATACGTACGGGGTCTACGGGACCTACCGGTTGGGACTATGGTACATGGGGCTCTGGCACTTGGGACTGGATTCGGGAAATTAGAAGCCGAGATATGTGAAATCCTTTCACTCCCGCCTGCCTAAATTCGATGTCCTCCAAGAAAGCTAGGACTTTTACCATCTATCTGAGCTTCAAATCCCTCTCCAAGCCTGCTCACAGTGAGAGACTATTCTATGGGCGTTTTGGAAACCATCTATCTTCATCTGTTTTCTGATACTGCCAATGACTCTTGAACGATGGTTGTGGCCACCCCTTCTTCCTGATCGGTATGAGTGACGAGCAATCCATGGTTGGCAATGTAGTATGCTGTGAGATGTAATCTTCAACTACATTGTCTTTATATTTTCTCAAATCTACCCTTTCAATGTCATGTTTGCCATCCATATCAGGCAGTGTCATAGAAGGAACAGTCAGTTACACAAGGCAACAGTTTGGAGGGGAAACACAAGGTATGTTCGCAGGTGTGGAGGTACGTCCATGACGTATGAGAGGCTATCAGCTTCATCTATTACATCTAGTACTTCACGAGGCCCCATATACGTTGGCAGCTGTTTCTGTGAAATCCCCTTAAGATTTGACCCAGACTAGGTTGCCTACCATGAACCACAAAGGTCTTTTGTGCTTATTTCATTGCTCTCCAGAGTCTCCACAATCTTCTGCTGCACATGCCTGATAGTCTCAGCAACCTTCTATAGGTCTTTGTCATACTTCAGTGCGAATCTCGAGTGTCCATGGGTTTCTAGGTAGTTTCTACCTTTGCGTAACTCATAAGGTGTTCTGCCTGTTGCTAGATGCACTGCGTTGTTGTTCACACTGGCTACCTTTGCTAGGTGTTCACACCAGTCTATCTGTTGTGGTCTAATGCACATTCATAGAGTCTGTTGGAGCAATTTGTTTGTCTGTTCGACTTGACCATTACTCTCTGGGTGTCTGAGCGCTCCAAGAATAGCAAAAGGGTGAATGATTACCATGGGGAAGCCCTGACGCTGGTACCTGGCGGACGGCCGGCTTTGAGGTGGGACCTAACGAGATACGGTAGCCCATAGGAGATGCAATCAGACTCGTTTTCAAACACACTTTTCACACATGTAAACAGTAACGCAGCACACTGGCGACATGCGCCCGCTCAAAACTCAGAGATATGGTTTTCAGATACGAGTTCACTCCCAATTGGCTATGGCGACCTCAGCGCACAAACATCTCACTGTTCACATACACTGGATCAC